ACTAGTGCTACCGTTGCCTCGGGTACCCCTAACCAAATTCAATCTGCAACCATTTCTGGGGGTGCTGGCGCACAGAACGACTCTTCGGCCAATGAACAAGAGCAAAATCCTCCTCCCGGGGTCTGTTTTGATAATGAGACAGTCGAGAAATTGCAAAAAGTGGTCGATGACTATCGCGACAATAAACTCGACCGAGTCTCTGCCCAAACTGGGATTGTACTCATTCTCACCGGCTTACCTGGTCCCGCGAGTGCCCACGAGTCATCCATCAAAACATGGCTCGCACAGCTCGACTCTCTTGATTCCGAACGTAGCCTCGCAGCTAGGAGGGGGGAGACGTCTGGGAATAGCGCGACTATCACTGCTGGACCCGAAGGTGAAGCTGATGCTGATGGAGGAGGTGGAAACCTTGGTGGTAATAACGCTAGAGGGAATAATAGTGTTTCTCGATCACACAGAAAACGACGCCGTCATCATCGAAATAGTCCCTCAGACAGCTCTTCGTCCTCCTCATCCTCTTCATCTGACGAAAGTGACGACAATGTTAAAAGGTCGAAATTCGATAAGAACCTGGTTCCTTTTGTTGCAAGAGACAAAATCCTCCTCGAAAATATGTCCTCTGGGGCCCGAGCCACTCATGCCCTTGCTGCGAACTACCGTCGAGGAGGAAAAGCGTTCAAAGACTTGCTCAAGGGTTCAGTTAGTCGACCCGAATTCCCGGACAGCGAATGGAACTCCATTATTCAGAACAAGGTCTGCGACTTCGATGCTGTACTTTCTAGTATCCATTCTCCGGCTGTCCCCAGGTCACTCAAGGAGAAGGTGGGGGTGTTTGAGATCAAAGCAGAGAAAGATGTCGAGGTCACAAAGACAGTCGTTAATGAGGCCCAATGGAACAAAGCTTTCCGTCTGTTCAAACGTGCAACTCTTCACCTTTTCCCTCATCGTGATTCTGAATTGGCTATCTATGAGAATCATATGGGTGATCTCTTTCTCTCTATTGACTCATCGCTCCATCCTCGTCTTATCTCATATGACAAAGCAGTTCGCAATTTGGTCGCTAATCGTGGTGACCTCACTCTCGCAGATATCAACCACGACGCTTTTCGGAACGCATTCCGCACGCATATCGAAAACTATGGGGCTTTTGTGGTTGAAAATGCGCAGCTTGCTTCTACTTCCTCTTTGCCGTTGTCCTCAAGGGACAAACGACCTAAGGTTGAAATATGCAAGCGGTTCAATCAAGGTACCTGCGTGGGGACCTGCCATTATGCTCACATTTGCTCGAGACCGAACTGCAGACGGCAGGGACATGGTGCTCACGAGTGTAAAGAGGGGAAGGCTGAGAAGAATTGATTGGGAGGTAATATTTTGGGTGTGGTTTTTTCTAGGACATGCTACCATGCTGCTGAATTCAGAGCTTGGTGATGTTTTCTTTTCTCCTCAAGCATCTTTTTATGATACCTTGCCGCTGAATTCAGGGCTTGGTCTTTTTTCCGTGTTTTTTCAAGCGTCCTTCTACGCTCCCTTGCTGCTGATTTCAGGGCTTGGGGGCATCTCTTCTCTTCACCTACTATCTTCCCATGTCAAACCCCCTCGGTATACGCTGGGGGCACTCAAAAAATGAACCCTACATTATCAGAGGGATCACGGCAACCACCTCGGAAGCCATGGTCTCTGGAGCGTCTCAGATTTGAACGCTCTATTGCTGTTGGTGCTGCTATCGACACATCGACACACTCTTCATATATGTCTGCCCTCAATTCCTATGTCTATTTCTGCGATGTTCACGGTTTTCCCTATAAACCTACACCTGATATTTTTAGTTTTTACATTGTTTGGCTTTGCAACAACGATGTACAGCGCATCGATCCGAAATCGGTGGAGAAATACCTCTCCGGCATCTGCAATGAGCTCGAAGATTTTTACGACGACGTTCGGACAATCCGAAATCATCGCTTAGTGCGGAAAACCCTCAGAGGGTGTCGCCGCTTATACAGCAAAGTAACAAAAAGAAAATCCCCCCTCTCCACTTCAGAACTTGTCCTCGCCGTCGAGTGTTACAGTCACAGTCATCATCATGACGATCTACTTTTCCTTGCTCTGCTACTTACCGGCTGGTTTGGGTTACTTCGCCTGGCAGAGCTGTGCCTTCCTGACATCAAAAAACACCAAAATCTACGGAAACGGACTAGACGCGATTCGGTGAAGTGGTATTCACAAGGATATGGTTTCGATTTACCCCAACACAAGGCAGACCCTTTCTTTGAGGGGAATAAAGTGGTTATCCGTCGTCATTGTCGCTTCCCCACCAACATTGACCCATATAAACCTTTTCTTGATTACATCAAATCCCGCGACACCCGATTTCCCACCCATTGGCAGCTTTGGCTGCGAGCAGATGGCTCTATGCCCACCCGGTCTTGGTTCATGGATAGGCTAAAAAGGTTATATAACCGACAAGACATTGCTGGTCAGTCTATTCGTTCAGGTGGAGCTACCGGTCTTGCGGAAATCGGTGTCCCTCTTCACCTCATTCGTGCCACTGGTCGTTGGGCCTCTGAAACTTTTCACATCTACATCCGCAAAAACCCCACTTTCCTCACTGCCCTTCTACTCCAATAAACGGCATGCTCTCATCATCATCACCCATCATCACTTCCATAGGCTCCATAGCGGTCGCTCGCATGCCCATTTGTAATCCATTCCGGCCCCGGGGCCGCTTGCCCTGGGGCGCGTTTGCCTACTCATAACCAGAGCCGAAGACAAGCAAATGATTGGTTGACGGTAAATTTTTGAATTTACCTAGATCAATATTGTGAGTCCCAGGACTCAAAGGGCACACGTCGCTACGTGTTCACATTGCCCCCATGTCGTTTCGCCAAACGACTCAGTTGCGTCGCACGCAACTTATCTTATGCACCGCTGTGCAAATAGCCGCGCTCGGCTTAATACCGGAATTTTCCGGTCATGTGGGTATGACGGTCATGAGTATTGAGTCGCTCACTCTTCTCGCTCATTGCCCGTTGTACCCAGGTATGTTCTATATCCATTATCCTGCTCTTCTCGTTTACTGAACGTTGTAAACACAGTTTCTCATCGCTTACCCACCCGCCCACCCTTGTACTGCTCGCCTTCCCATCTCATATCTGCGTTTCAGTTTTGTCTACTCTATTTTTTGCTGGGGCGCGTTTGCCTACTCATAACCAGAGCCGAAGACAAGCAAATGATTGGTATCATCGAGCCAGCTATCAGAATCCCATGTGATAACCGCTACACTACAGGACCATACTAGGTAATGAGTAGAGAAAAGTGGAGGAGCTGGAGAGGGGGTGCCTTGTCCAAAATATCTAGGATGGAAATTGAGTTTATGATAGGATTTCGCGCTTATGGCTGTACCATATTTTCAACTGAACACTCGGAAGCCCAAAAACCTCTTTTGTGTACTTGAAGTCCAATGCAAAGACACGATCTGACGCGAGTCGTGACACGTCCGAGTCTGATCGTGACGCGTCACGCGTCAAGGTTGATCACCTTATCGTGTAGCACTCCTATCTTTTTTACAGAAGAGCGAACGAAAACCTGGACGTTGTACATCATCCCTTTCATCACCTCCCCGAGTTCTTTAGCGTTTGATGTCATATCCATATCATACCACTCCCAAACTTGACATTCTCCAAGTTCTTTATCGCAAGTATGTTCTCAGCAGTGATATCATTCTTTCATTCGGCTCGAAACTTTCATCGTGTCTTTGGCCTTTTTCCTGCTAGGTCAGCTTGTGCCGAGCGTGCAATGTCTCTGGGACTCCATTGGTATTGAATGAGTAGTTGATCGGACGTGGGTTCTGAGCAGGTATTTAAGGACACTGTAAGACGGAGGAAATGATACATTGCATACGTACCCTTCTGAATCCTCAGATAACCAACCAACCAGAAAAAAAACTAGATTCTGCTAGATAGAAAAATGGCATCCTCGATCAACAATTTTTCCGATATCAAAGCTCGTCAGAAAGGTAAGCATCCTCGTGTCTTCTTCTAGCATCAACACCAAGACTAACTCAAACTCGAATCAAACAGGCGAACAACTCCAACACGTCCCCGCCGCCGGGTCCGACACCGACACCCAAGTAACAGATGTACACCCTATAACGCGCGAGACAAGAGTTGATGTTGAGGGACCTGGAGGGTCGAATGCTGCCAAGCCGGGGAATACGGTTAATGAGATTAAGGAGAGGATGGCGGAGGGTGGGGAGCAGAAGTGATTTCACGATAGATGGGAATGGTGAGCACTGCTGGTGATACTTGGTGGTGGACTCGGACTTGTAAAAGGAGGACCTCGAAGTGTATTATTAGTAGACCATCCAACTGACGAGAATGACATTTGAAAGTTCAAGGTAACGCCCATGTCCGTATACCTTACTTGGTTTGGCATCCCGAGACAGACCCGGCTTGAAGCTTGACGGTTTTAGCATCACATCCAGTACGAGAATCGCGCCACTACCGATGGCGCTGACAGTCGACGCTGCCAGTGATGGACACCGAGTATCGGGCGCGATGTAGAGGAATGTTACGGATAGTACTGCCTACGGGATGTAATACTGATGGCGCTGATGATAGATGTGGTAGCTGCCTTGAGCATTGGGATTCAAAGTTTGCTCAACAAAGACATACGCACTCCGGATTGTCTTCTGACGAATGGCCTCGCTGTTCTTTGGTAGGCCCAGTGACGCTCGAGTCGGTGCGTAGCCTGTACACGACTACCTCATCATTACGATATACCACGGCTAGAGATAGACAGAATGATTTACCTTTCCATTCGACTCCGGGAAGCAGTGAGCATAGCCTGTACATCAAATTCGGGATGGTGTTCTTGGGTATGCAACGCGATGCACTATTTCGGGGGAATAAAAGGGATTTTAGAGCACGCTTTTTTGAGTCGACTCGTTAAAAACTTATGCAAGCAAAGGGTAGTGGAAAAAATCGGACATTTGTATTATCCTGAGGTCCTGCCAGGAATCGAACCTGGGTCATGGGAAGATGACAAGACTGTGCAAACCTGCGATCAGAATCCCATGTGATAACCGCTACACTACAGGACCATTACAGCGAGAAGAAGGTGCTTAGGACACCTCATTTTGATGATGAGATACTGGCATCTAGAATGATGACCTGACGAAAAGGTTTCCGACGGAACTCTTTAAATCCGAAGGCTTGAATGAAGTCGCTCAGGGTTGCTCCCTATCGCCGCGTAAGAGGCAGTCCCGGGGAGGTATAATCGAAGGTGTTGAAACAAGAATGGAAGAGAAAGAGAGGTTGAGGACTTCCAGCTGGTCCCAAAGGTAGGTAGGTAAGTAGCGATCTACTTTTAGCCAAATTTTAGCCCAACGGAGGCTATTCCAATTTTGCAATCGGTACATTTGAGGCCGAAGCTTCTCTTCTCAATCACTGTGCAGCTGGTAGTCCTGTAGCCATAGAATGAAATTTGCATTGCAAACGAGTCCAGAGCTCAATTGTCGTCAAGCAATGAAGAGTCTGGATGAAAGAGTGCTTGGAGTCGGACGTGAGAAGTGTTGGAGTTGACATTATGGGTCCGTAACAAGCAGACATGGTGCGGTTAAGCGTGCCCATGGAGGAATGGATATGCTTGGCGAGGCTGTGCGGAGCCTTCCGCAGGTAATGTCACACTGTGTGACGGACGAGACGTTTTTGGGATGCTCAACGGTTCAAAAATAATCTTCAGATTTCGAGGATGAGAGGTGTAGAATTACAACAGAAAGAGCAACGAACAGTAGTAGAAAGCGGGGAGAAAACGTAGTGAATTGTGAATGGAAACAAGGGTAACACAGCCGCATGGGAAATTGTTACAGAGTGTCACATCATCGCAGTTGCCATTCCTTTTGTTCGTCTTTTTTTCAGCACTCGCAGCCAAAAACCTTTCCTTTACCCATGAAAGCGACCAGGTCGTTGCTATTATCATGTCTTCTTGCTCTCGCAGCAGTCCATGCTGCAGAAGCTGCTCGCAATTATCCCCGTCAACAGGGAGGAGGTCTTGGAATTATCGGTAACGATGATGAGACAACCTCGACCACCAGCACTACCACGTCCTCGTCTTCATCAACCACCAGCTCCTCCTCTTCCACCACCTCTACCAGCTCAAGTACGAGCACCACTTCTGAATCCACCACTTCCAACACCTCCGCTACTACCTCTGCAAGCAACACTAGCGCACAGACCTCGGCGTCTACCACAAATCCTGCGCAATCTCCAAGCACCACTCCTCCTCCTCAGCCCTCGACAGTCACTTCGACTAATGCACAGGGTCAAACCACTTTTGTAGTGGTCACCAATACACCATCTGGCTCTGCGACAGAAGACTCGGCAAACTCGCCCACAAACTCTTCTGACAGCAGCAACGGCGGCGGCGGAGGTGACAGTGACGGTCTCGGTACCGGCTCTATCATTGGCCTCTCAGTAGCTGGTGGTGTCGCTGCTATTGGTATAATCGCTTTCTTCGTATGGAAGTTTACAAGGAAACGGTTCACAGACTTTGACGACAGTACGTTCTGTCCAGCGCTCTCTATATCTAATAAACTTATCTATACCTACAGACGAGGCTATCAAATGGCCCGAGCTCAACGCCCACAACAATATAGGAGGAGCCGACTCTCACCCTCTTCCTGTCCACAACACCGGTCGAGCTGGCTTCGATACCGGTTCAGAAGTTTCCCTCTCCCGTGCTCCTTCCAATAACACCCACACAAACTACTCAACTTCTGACCTAGCACCAGATCCTTACGCCGTACCTCCCCTTCCCCATCTCAACCCCAGCCAACCTCAACCCTATAGAGACGATCCCGGCGCTGCAGGAGCGTACTATGACCCTTATCGCGGTCCCGTCCCCGGCGCATTCAGTGACCATGGTCACGAATGGGGTCATGGCGGTGAAGCGATACCAATGACCCAAATGGTGCCTCCTGGAATGTCAATTGGTCGGGTAGCTAGTCCTGCACCCAGTATTGCTAGACAAATGACTCCTGCACCTGGTCTAGGGTACGACATGGGTCGGAGATCGCCTGGACCTCAGATGATGATGGGAAGGGCCTCGCCTGCGCCGGGAGCTTACGGTGACTATGGTGCGAGGTAGTTTCGTATGACGTGCCATCGAGCTATGGGCGGAGCGAGCGCACGGAGTTCGGGTTTCTGGCTGTGGAGTTGTGTCAGGCTGTGTATGTTAGTTTTTTAGACGAGTAGGCGAGAAACGGTTTATTGCGTTGTGGAGCGTTGAATTGGGGCCGAGGACCATTTGGAGCGGGCATCAAGTGGGGCAAAGACGAGAAGATCGAACGCAAAAGATGGCTTTTTCTTTGGACAAGGATTTTTTTCTTCATTTGCTATTTTCTTTTCTCGTGGACACTGCATCTCGCATTTTCCGACCATCTTTATTCCTGCAGTCGTTTCTCTGTCTTTCCTGTCGTTGCTCTGCTTCTAGCTACTCGGCTATCCTAGGTCACCATCATACATCAATCAACTTTTGCATGCATTATTCCTCTTCGTTACGCTTTTCTATCCAACTACTACTCACCCTCTACGCTACCAACCAACTATAGGATCTGGACCTCTTTGCAAGCATTGCCGCTGTCATCTCACGACATGACTTGCCTGCGCAGCCGCAGGCTGGGCATTCGTCCTCCCTTCCGCTCTTTCCCTTTCTCATCCGTCACTCGTTGTTCCTGAATCAGAATCTTATTTCCTTATTTACATACATACCTCTACGTATACGTATATACATACTCATCATCATTATCGACATCCAAACATCCCCTCGTACCTTCATGGTCCCCTAATGATATTTTCGTCTTTTTTTCCCTTAACCTCGAATGATATCCAATCCCAAGCTATTACTTAGTACATATATGCTATGTTGGCTGACCACTGACTAACCTTTTTCTTCCTTCTGTACATATCTAGACCGTTCTCTTTAGAGTATCGTATCCTGTCTCTTCTCTGTATACCTTTTTTTTTTTCCTCGAGCTCTCAAAAATTGCTTTTTTTGTTATCTTTGATACCTCAACTACTAACTTGTGAAGTTGAGTATATATTAGACTACATAGAAATATATGCAAATATGCAGATCTCCTCAACCTTTGTGCAGTGCACAGCGCCTCTAGGCACGCGTTCACGCGTCTTGAAGACTCTTGATAGACCTCCCCGTAATTATATGTACACAGGCACTGACAGAGTTCAGAGCACAATCACAGACGTCATTTTGTCATTTTTGGAGATGGAGATGCCATTCCATGGGTGCCGGGCAGGTAGTAAGGTTATGAACGAACGGGATACTCGGGCAGGGTCCAACTCGCAACCTTGGATATCCAAGTTCTTTTCAGACTCGTTGAAGCCTCATTTTAACGCGCGCCCGGGATTGTTCAAAAAGCGCTAGAGCGTCAAGGTGTAGATAGATGGGTATGCATCAAAATTTTGACAACATTCTGCTTGATGAGTCGAATGAGCGCATCAGCTTCAGGACGGAACGCGGCAGAATCTCGGTTTCTATGTAGTTGATTTTGATCATATCACGGTGTTGTAACAATGTACTGAACTAGAGAACTTGAAAGTAGGGTTCTTTTCTTTTCTTCTCTTCTCTTCTCATTCAGGAATCCGAATCAAGGGCCTATCTATTAGTAGATATCACCCGCGGCACGAGTTGAACGTTAAATCCCTGTACCTTTATCCCTCTATCCCCAAATTCTTAAATTTGCCTCCTATGGCTGATAGCGAATTTGAATGGAAAATTATTGAGGCTCAGTACGCAGTCGGGGTCAGGTTTGAGATCGTACACGTCCCTCAACGGCCTTTATTCGCCATCGAACGTACTGACAACATGTGGGAGGTGACTCATATCAACTCATGTTTTGATCTCTTGGCTTGGTCAATGATAGAAACTTGAATCTTAAATTTGTTACCGCAGTAGATACCTTATATTATTATTATTGTGGTTCGATTCTGAAAGAAACCTGCAAGGATCTCTTCTAAGTACATAATTCATGATTCCCTATGATACGGGGTTCTCTTCCAGGAACTGCGGTGATGCGAGGTTCTTTAAAGGATGATACTATGGAGAATGAAGAACCGGAACAAAGTAATGGGCCCCCTGAAACGATTCGAACGAATGTGCCATTGAGCTCTGCCGCGATCGTTGAAACCGTATTTTTGGGGACCGATTCTGTGGAGGAAGATAACGAAAATGCTTTTACCGGTCACTAGTCTAATCGGGCTTGGAGCTTTCATCCAAGTATGCTGTTGTATTTTGGGGTGCCATTTGTCAGAGCGTACTACCCAAAGTACCGGTCTGCCACTAGTAGCTTGAATACTTGGCTCCATGAGTAAATATCATAAATCCAACCTTTGCTGGCGTCGTCTGACTATGCCTTGTATTAGTTTTATACATCCGTTAGTAGACTTTCCATTTTCCTGAGGGCCTACAGAATCTTAGTTGCAGGCGAAGTCAAAGATATTATAAAAAACAGCAATGTTGGACGAGATAGGGTAATTATACGATTATCCTCGTAGGTTGGTAAATGGTTCTGTAATGTAGTAGGAGATTCCCATATATGATTTTTCTCATAGCCCATGTTAACGTTGACTTTTGGTAGGATCGCGTTTGTTTGCTTATCTTTGTTTGACTAAAGCTTTCCTAGCTTTCCAAATAAACGTTAGCTGTTATAAGCGTCCGTTCTTCTCTTGGTCTCAAGTAAGTTCTGCGCAACTGGTTTCCTTCAAGAAGTCCAAAAAATGGGAAGACGCCGTAATATTTCCATGTTTTATCCATCACTTTCCGACAACTGTTCGAGAGTGCAAATTTGAACAAAGCCAGTTGTGACTTGTAGTTGAGGAGTCCAGCTGTGGAATGCGTGAGTCCTAAGACCTGACGAATAACAGGAGCCAAAATACCGCATCCCACCTTCCCAGTACTCCAATATCGCGGTTTGTTAGTTCGGCGACCTTCCCAGGCGAATATGCCCGGGGTAAATCATTTCAGTTAATGACAGGAAGACAACAAAAAAACTCGAGGTCGATTATTGACTACTCCCATCTGATC